GGCCTAAAATTATATATTAGCTAGAATTCCTATTCTTGGTCACCTTAAATTTGGGTGACAATCTAGGAAGCAAGTAATTCTGAACTGTCTATCAGATGTTAGCATTTTATAGGTAAGAACATTCCATAATTTTTTACAAAAACATGTTTTGCCTATATTATAACCCTTTCTTAATTGGAAATGACTCATACATCTAGTGAGCATCCAAAATAATTTCAAGATTTTAAATTACGTAGAAAGTTCACCTATAGCAATTATCCCATTTACATTTCACTCCTTTTTAGCAGTTTATCTAGATTACGTATGAGAGCTGAGATATTAGACAGAGCTAGTCATTATTTCCTTGTTAATTATTTTTATAACCTGTGCATATTAAGTGCTCACTCAAGAACCTTAAATACTTGGGCATTTTCACCAATAACTCAGAAGATTCAGCTCTTTCTATTAAACTAATGATATTAGTCTTACTTATCAAAAAATCACACAAAGGTCATTTTGTTTTGTCTGGGTTTATAGTTGTAAAACTTTGACACTTTAAAATATCTAGCAGAGACAAATATAAAACCCAGAAAAAAATATGTTGACAATGCTGAAGACATTTCTATTTTAATCTTACCAATAATTTTAAAGCCAGCTTATTTAGAATTTACTTAAGTCACCTGAACTTGAAAAAGTTTTAGACTTATTTACTTAATTTATGAGTTCCTTTTTATTTATAAACCAATTTGGTACCATGTAAAGACAACACATGATAACCAGACACATATGTACACATATAAACAAAGATCCAGTAGCTTTTACCTTAGAATTCTAGCCATGAGATAGCAGTGCAAACTCACCGGTTTATGAACATGTTCGTGTGGCTGAATTTTGCCCTGGTAGGTAATCCAGTGAAGGCTGTGAGCCAAAATTTTGGGTTAAGCAATTTCCATGGCAGTTTGATTTTTAAAGGCCAAACCTACCCAGACTCCAAAGAACACTGGGGCCAAACAGCACCACAGAAGAACATCATGTATGAGGTTGGCGCAAAAATAATTGTGGTTTTTGCCATCTGAAAGCAGTGGCAAAAACCACAATTACTTTTGCACCAACTTAATACTAATGAGTCCTGACCGTTTTTAGATGAGCAACATACAAGCCTGGATACAAAGGAACTCTGACCCAGTTTCCCATTTAACAGTAAAATGAATCCAATTGTAAGACAGCCCTACGATTCAAAGACCTTCCAAGATGAGATGAGATCAGCAGGTTGGGGTGGTATGGGTATGGCTGTAGACTTTCCCTTGCTCTCTTGGCCCACAACTACATTCATACCAACCTAAAGAATGCATCCAAGCAGGCTGCATTGTGGGATTGAACCTCGACCTCCTACAGCTATGTCAACATGCACACAATCACCAATACACAATCCAACTGCAGCAGCACCCATCATGCCCCCAGAGTGTCCAAACCGAAATAATTGGGGTGCTTTCCTCTCTTGGTTGGGCTTGTTCAACCTGCAAATGGAAATTTCTTCAGAATTCCCAAAATTGAGAGAAGCAGTTGCCACTGTTTGGACCCACAAAACATACTTGTCCAGACACATATGTTTATACACACCAACAATTACTAACAAGTCCCAAGAGTGTCCAAACAAATAGTTGGAGGGCTTGCCTCTCTGTTGGTTACACTTGTTCAACCTGCAAATGGAAATTTCTTTGGAATTCCCAAAATTGAGCCATTCCCCTCGTTTGGTACCCACAAAAGACACTCACTTATCCAGATGCAGATGGCAAATTTCAAAGGCTGTTCTTCGTAGGCAATCAGAAATGCAATAGAGGCCACAGTGACAGAGTCAAAAAGAGACTGAAATCCACCTCCAGCCAAAAAAGGGCCAGGCAGCTGCTTAGGAGGGCTTCTGAAACTCTCCTGGCCCACGGCTGCAGAGCCATGAACAAGGCCTTCTGGTCAAGGAACCAAAATCTGTTTCTGAAATGCCAGGGGTTTGATCTAGTTCTGTTGCTTGCTGCATAGAAAACCAATTACTGAGACAATGACTATTGCCAGAGATGAAAGCTTTATTTGGGTGATGTCAGCCAGAGTGATGGGAAATTGCCTTAAATCAATTCCTCTCAGCCAACTAAAATTGGGAGTTTATATAATGGGGAAGGAATGCAACCACGTGCAGGAAAATGGGAATTAGGGAGAGGTATGGAAGCAATCATGATGGGTGAGGGATCTGGCATCTCACTAGATGTGGTGGTCTAGTGAGTTTCAGTTCCTTCCCTGAGGATCAGTTTTCTGAGGAAGGAACTCAGATAACACAAATGTAAGTTTCCAGTTGTAAGACAAGGGAGGGTCATTTCCATGTGTATTCAAAAAGCCATCAGCATAAGTTCTATGGGCAGTTGGACTGGTTTCACTAGTTGTGAAATAGATTGATGGAAGATGACTGAAGCACATTCAAAATTTGGACCACATTGCCTTGTCTTGCCTCCATCATATATTTTTGCTGGGTCATATTTTGTATTCAGTTCTTAGTCATTATTGAGGGATGCTACAACAAACAGTTTAATGCCTATTGCTGTGTGTGCTATGGGGGTGCAGTATTCTCCATTGTAGTTAAAATATGTACAGAAAATAAATAACTTTTAAATATGAGTTTGGGGAGTAGTTTGTTTCCCCTGAGGAACTGGTATCCTTTTTCTTTACGGACATGGGCAGCTAAGTAACTGATTTCTCTTTCCACTTCAGCTTCTGGGAAACTTATTTTTAATTTTAATTTTGTTTTAGAGACAAGGTCTCACTCTGTCCCCCAAGCTGGAGTGCAGTGGTGCAATAATAGCTCACTGCAGCCTTGAACTCCTGGGATCAAGTGATTCTCCTGCCTCAGCCTCTTGAGTAGCTAGGACTACAGGTATGCACCACCACACCTGGATTCTGGGAAACTTAGATCCAAATTTTCAAGCCAATGAATTTGGCTCTTCGGGGGCCCTGTGGTCTTGGTATCTCTCTCTGTCCTACCTCTGTATCTTCCTGGGTCTAATTTTTATTTTCAATTATTTTTCCCTATTTTGTGTGTTTCTGATAAACCACCTGAAATAATTTTTTATAAGGTAGAGTATTACACACTCTTGAATATGTATACATTCAGTTAGTTAATTAGTAGGTCTTGGACAGCATGGTCTGGATGGAGATTCTGAGTCCTGGGACCTGCTGTGTGATGGATAAACATGTGACTGGGCTTCAGAACTGCCCTCTTGTACACTGGATACTCCCAGGCTTTATCTTTAGTGAAGAGATAATTTGTCCTTAAGCACACTAGGAAGACAGTCTGGGGTAGAGAAGGAGCTAACCTACTTTATCTAAATGAAGAACTGGGTGAGTTGCTGTGATCAGCTAATGAAGGATTTATGAAAGCATTTTGAAAAGTTTAAAACATTTTATATTTGCTCATTTAACATTTATTGCAAGCACTGGGCCAAGGATATGAAGATGGGTAAACTCATTCATTCATTCTTTCAATAGATACTTATTGAGTAACCACTGTGTGCCTTGCCCTGATCCAGGTGCTTGGAATGCAGCAATGAGCAAAACAGTGTCTACTTACCTGGAGCAGTACCTCCTGCAATCCTTGAGGCACTTGTAACCTAGTGGGATTCTTTGTATGTGTTCTTTGCATTCTTTGCATCTACTCATATGTGGTGGGACTCACTTATGAGATCAAAGCTGTTTTATATTTAGGGCTTATGGACCTAAGTTATGGCATGGAAGATGTTTGTATTTGCAAAGAGATTTGTAGTTCCTCCCTCCCCGCTCCCTTTTTCCCAGTACTGTGGAATGATATAGGTAGGAGTCAGTAGATTTAGTGATAAGCCCAAGGATTCTGTCTGTAGGTTCCTGAGGAGCCTAGTGTGCTAGGGATGCTTCAGGTGATATGCAAACAATCCCCAAGCCACATGTAACCAGTCAGGTAGCTCTCAACTGGCCTGGGCAAGCCACCCTCTGGTTTTGGTTTAGCAGGTACTTTGTATTTTGGCAACTTTCCCAAGGAGTTCTGAAATGTTTCCCACCCCTGTTCCATATTCAGACATACTGATGCAATGCAATGTGCTAATTTTGCACATGAGGACACTGAGACATAGGGGATAAAGGGATTGTTCAAAATCACACAGTTAAAAGCAAAGCCAGAACCCAAACTCAGGTTTCTGGCTTCTCCACGATGCCCTTTCCACCAGCCCAGAAGATGGACCTTTCTCTGAGCATGCAGACTGCTGGTACTGTGAGGTGTTGATGGGCTGTGAAATAATCCATCCTGCTTTCTGACTGACCTTGGCTCAGGTCTGGTAAGGGTTCCAGCAGGGTCATGTCCTGTATGCTCTGGTTGTACTCTGAGTTGATACTGTGGTTGCTATTTTTCCATTGAAGTATTTTAATAAATTTGTAATGTCTGGCTCTTAAAATTTCCCTAAGTGGATAGTGCTATTTAGAAGAATCTTAATTAAGTACATAGATATCCTCCTGGTTGGGGTGAGCTTTTCTGCAGGTGATCATTAGAGTGGGCATTTGTCTTAGGAGCCCATGGAGGTTTTTACAAAGAGCCATAGCTCAGCCCTCAATTGCCGGTTCTGGGTTTCTGCATGTTTGGAGGAAACGGCTGCCAAAAATTGTCTTTACACAGAAGCGGTCTGTCCGTTGGGTACAACATGGAGCCTGAGCCACTGCATTTTAGAAGTTTCTTCTTAGTAGTTGATTCCACATTTGGTTTTGAGAACTTTAGGCTTTATCATACAAGTCCTAGTATAATTCTTCTAGACTAGGAAAGGAATTCTAGATCCCCCAGCGATAGTCTTCTCCACTCTTGGGCTACCCCAAATGTTTGCATGGTTGCATGTCACGTGCATATAGTTGACATATGCCTGCTGAGATTGTGGTCTCTCCCTCCTGGGCAGTTTGCAAATTGAAATTTCATTCCTTCTGTAGCAGGACGAGCCGTGGACAAAACCCCGCAGACACCAAGCTAGTGAAGGAAGTAGCTTTTAATCAACTGGAAGCATCGGCAGACTAGTGTCTTAAAATCCGAGCTTGTTGAGTGCACAATATCTGTCCCTTTTAAGGGCTCACAACACTAAAGATTTTACATGAAAGGGCCGTGATTGATTGAGCAATCTAGGGGGTATGTGACAGGGGCTGCATGCACCAGTAATCAGAATGAAACAGAATGAGAAGTTTCACAATGTCCTTCCATACAATGTCTGGAATCTATGGACAACATCAATTGCGAGGTCATTGGTTGAATTTTAACTGTGAGGCTAAGGTCAGGCAGGCCCAGGCCTGGTTGTGGGTCTGGTTTTGGGTCTGGTGCCTGATGCTGGGCTGCCTGCCTTTGGTTTCACTTCCTTGTTTCTTCTTAAAACTGGTACTGAGTATAAAACAATATAGAACAATATGGGGGGTCTCTTTCTCTCCTCTCTCATTTCCCCCCCCTTGAGACTCTCACTCATTTTATTAGTGGGAGTTCTCACTTTCATTCTCACTACTTATGTCTTCCTGTGCAATAGATTGATAGTGATTCATATAGTAGACTTGTGCTGAAGCATTCTGGTGAACTAAGGCAGCGATGAAGCTTTTAATCATTTGAAGAAGTACAGGTAGCAAACAAAGGAGTAGTAAGCAAGTTCCTATTACTATTATAACTCCTGTTATAAGAGTTTTAAATCCTCCTATTGCTGGGAACCAATTTCCAAACATGGCCCCAGGATCAAATCCGTGCCACACTTGCAGGGGTACATGTGCCAGTTTTGTTATATCTTTAACTATGTCTTCAACTAGTTCATCTAGTTCATGATCCCTTGATCATCTATGTGTAGACAGCAATTAGTAAGGTTAAATTTTCCACAAACTCCTCCTTCAGCTGCTAGCAAGTAGTCGAGAGCTAGTCTGTTTTGGTAGTCTGTTTGGCATTCCTCATCTGAGTCTCTTGCCAGGCAAGAACAGTCAATGCTTGACCGGTTTTGTTAGTAATAATTTCTAAAACAGCTTGCAACCATATAATTCGGTTGAGCATGTAGATGGGGGTCCGATATCCCCATGAGCCATCTTGTGCCCAAGTAGCAGACCCATAGTATTGTTAATTCTTTCAGGGGGTCATTCATCATCTTTCCAGTTACCTATGGCTATGCTTTGTTTTTCACGGGAAGCATAGACAGGGAGTCCTAGGAGTTCACCTGTTTTTATGGGCAGTAGGAAGAAAGATGGTTTAATAGTGCCAATTACACAGCTACCTGTCCACTGATCAGGTAGCTTAGCATAGGCTCTATGTCCACATATCCTGTATAGCCCAGTGGGGGCCATCCAGTCCCGGTGGAATTCTGGGTGGGCCCAAACAGTCTGCAATTTTGGAAATGTACTGAATGGATTTTTTTGCTGTGTAATTGGAACTCCACCATGTAACTGTTTTGGTGGTACCATTGTACAGTTTTTGTCCAAGACAACTAAGTCATCCTACAGGATGAGTGAATTCTTTTCCTCCTCTAGCTATGCAATATTGTCCGATAATTGAGGCTTTTGGAACCCAGAAATTGTCAGGGTGGTTCTTTTGGGCCAGGAATTCATCAGGAACTGGGTCTGTAGGAACTAATTCTCGGGCTTCCATGGCCGTTGATCTCCTGTTACAGTTCCTCCACAAACATAACATGAAGTGACTTTTAGAGACTGGGCTACATGCTCGGCTAATTGCAAAAACAAATTTCTAGTTTTTCCTGGAATTTCAGGTACTGGCACATTTAGTTCATCATAGAAAGTCTGAAATACTGGCTCTGGAGAGTGTTTTCAAATCTCTCCTTTTATTAAAATGTTTACCTTAGGGTCTAGTCCTTTTCCATCAATGCCTAGAGATACATATTCTCCTTTTTTCCATTTTGCGTCTGAGGGGTTTGTGATTACTAATTCTAAAGGGTTGCAGCTTCCACTTGTACAGTAGGGACTTCCTTTCCCTTTTTGGAACCAAACAGGATCTTTTTCATCCTTTTTCCAAGTAATGACGCAAAACCAGTACCCACATTCTTTTCCACACAATCCTAATTCCTGACAGATGTACTTATTTTTGGTCATGCAGCTTTTATCCCAATTAAAAGAGCCACATCCTGCTCCTAACTTATTGCTGTTAATGACAGCACAAGCATCAAATTTTAAGAGTATGCATTTGGGCACCCCTTTTTCTTCTGTTCTGGCTAATACTTTACTTGTATCATTTAAGTCCCCACCAGTCTTCAGTCCTTAATCTTATTTCAAAAACTGGAAATGGGAGGTTCAGAGGGGTCATAGCACACATCGGGCTGGTCACTTCCTGGATTATAGACTTTGTAATGAGTGTTATTATACAGACATGTTCCTTTTGGAATTCCTAGGCACTCATAATAACTATAGAACAAAAAGATTGTCTTAACTTGTTGTCCTACCTCAGTGACCTGATGTGTGCACTGAAAGCAGTCCCCTGCGTGGGAAGAAGCAGTGGAAGCTTTTACCACACAAGTCCATGTTATAAGGAAAATAAGTCCCATAACGATTTTCCTCATGCTTTGGCTGTGTGTAGACCAGTCAGCTTCCGGGTGTGACTGGAGCAGGGCTTGTCGTCCCCCTCAGGGTTACTTTGCAGGGATTGTCTAGGCTTGGTTTGGCCTCCCAGGTTCCAGTGGCTGCGGGCTTTATGCGGCTGTGGTGAATCCAGGCCGGAATTCTTTCTCTCTTCACAGCTGTGGGAGTGGTCAAGATAACAGTCTGGAGTCCCTTCCACCATGGCCATAATAAGGGAGCTACGTTCCAGTCCTTGATCCACACATGGTCACCTGGAGAAAAAGGGTAAACTGGGGAGAATAAGCTGACTGGGCACCTCTCATTTACCTAAGTTAAGATTGTCTGGGTAATTTTTCCCCAAGGCCTGTAACTGTTGCTGCAATTCAGTTTCACCCAACTCTTGGGGAGTACCCGGAAGTCCTCACAGTATAGGAGGAGGCCTATGATATAATATTTCATAAGGGGAGTATCCTGTTTTCTTAGAGGGGGTGCACCTAATTTTGAACAATACCATAGGAAGGACACGTATCCATTTTAATCCTGTCTCTTGACATACTTTCCCTAAACTGTTTTTGACAGTCTGATTCACTCACTCCACCTTTCCAGAACTCTGAGGTCAGTAGGCGGCATGTAGCTTCCAAGTGATTCCCAATACCTTTGCCGTCCTCTGTACTAAGTCAGCCACAAATGCCGGCCCATTATCTGAGCCAATCCACAGAGGCAGTCCAAACCTAGGGATGAGATCTTGAAGAAGCACATGGGTTACTTCATAAGCTTTTTCAGTTTGTGTTGGATAAGCCTGTACCCACCTAGAGTAAATACACACTAGAACCAGTAAATACTTGTTACCTCCGCATTTGAGCACCTCTGTGAAGTCCACTCGAAGATGTTCAAAGGGAGCTGCTCCACAGGCTTATATGCTGGGAGGAACAGAGGGGCCTTGCTTTGCATTGTGCTGTCGACAGGTAATGCATCGCTGCACTACTGTTTTAGCAAGAGCTTCACTAAGTTCTAGGGCCCGAGTTAAGGCAGTGAGCTTTGCTTTCTGGGCTGAAGTGCTCTGAGGCAATGGTCTGGCTTCAGTAACATCATCCAAGGTTACCACCGCATGTCCTGTGCATCTTTCTCCTCGTGGATTGATGAAGCTGCTCCTGTCCACATATAACTCCCAGTCCACTGATGCCCATGGCTGGTCTCAAAGATTGGGTCTGCTAGAATAGACTGAGTCCACACAGTTGTGTTTGACAGGGTTGTCTGATACTGGGAGTAAGGTGGCAGGATTCAGAGTGTTACAGACTTCAATGATTATGCAGGGGTTTTCACATAACAAGCTTTGGTACTAGGTTAATCTAGCATTTGTTAGCCAATGGTGTCCTTTGGTATTCATTAAAGTTACCACCTCATGGGGGGCCTTTATGCTTAAGTTTTGCCCAAGGGTTAACTTGTCTGCTTCTTGCGCTAACAGGGCTGTAGCTGCCAGGGCTCTTAGACATGGAGGCCAGCCTTTTGAAACTCCATCTAGCTGTTTTGAGAGGTAGGCCACTGGTCTTGGCCAGGGCCCCACAGTTTGGGTTAAAACTCCAACTGCCATTTTTTCTTTTCTTTTTTTTTTTTTTTGAGACAGAGTCTCGCTCTGTCACCCAGCCTAGAGTGCAGTGGTGCCATCTTGGCTCACTGCCAGTTTCACCTCCCAGGTTCACACCATTCTCCTGCCTCAGCCTCCCAAGTAGCTGGGACCACAGGTGCCCGCCACCACGCCCAGCTAATTTTTTTTTTTTTATTTTTTAGTAGAGACGGGGTTCACTGTGTTAGCCAGGATGGTCTCGATCTCCTGACCTCGTGATCTGCCCACCTTGGCCTCCCAAAGTGCTGGGATTACAGGCATGAGCCACTGCATGCGGCCCATTTTTTCTCTTTCTGACACATAGAGTGTAAAGGGCTTTGTCAAATCTGGTAGTCGAAAGGCTGGGGCTGACATAAGTTTTTCCTTTAACTTGCAAAGGCTTGCTGTTGCAGAGGTCCCCATTCAAAAGGCTCCCAGTCACCCGCCTTTGTAACCCCTACAATGGTTTGGCTAGCACCGCAAAGTTTGGAATCCATAATCTGCAGAACCCCACAGCTCCTAGAAATTCCCTTACTTGCCTTCTGGTTTTAGGTTCTGGTAAGCTGCAGATGACCTGCTTTCTTTCTGACCCCAGGCTGCGCTCCCCTTTCTGAATAGTGAATCCCAGGTAGCGTACCTGCTGTCTGCAGATCTGAGCTTTCTTCTTGGACACCTTATATTCACAGTCCTCCAGGTGTCGAAGCAGGGCATCCGTCCCTTTTGCACACCTGTCTGTTGTGGAATGTCCTGGCAGAAGATCGTCCACGTACTGGAGCAAGATGCAGCCTAGGTCTTTAGCAGGAAACTTCTGGAGGTCTCGAGCCAATGCCTCCCCGAAGATGGTGGGGGAATTTTTAAACCCTTGGGGAAGCCAAGTCCAAGTGTACTGAGTAGTGACACCTGACCCCAGATCTTCCCACTGAAAGGCAAACAGCCTTTGGCTCTAAGGAGCTAGTCTGATGGTAAAGAAGGCATGCTTTAAGTCCAGACAAGTGAACCAGCTGTCCTCAGCCGGCAGCAATCCTAACAGTGTGTAAGGCTTAGGAACTGTTGGGTGCAGAGTCACTGTAGCTTGGTTAGCCAAGCATAAGTCCTCTATGGGTCAATAGTCCCTGGTCCCTGGCTTGCAGACAGGTAGGAGGGGGTGTTCCATGGAGACTGGCAAGGAACTTTAATTACAAAAGCTTTCAAGCATTTAAGATGAACTTGTATTCCTTCAAGAACTTCTCTAGGAACAAGATACTGCTTTTGTCTAATTGGCTGGGCCCTAGGCTTAACTTCTGTGAGTACGGGGGCTTGATTGATCGCCAGCCCTGGAGGATTGTCCTTTGCCCATACTCAGGGCCATTGCTCAACTAGAACCGGTTTTATCTCCTGACCTGGCTTGGTTAGAAAAAGCCTCCATTCTTCTTCTCGGGGGACTGTAAAGGCCATGATAACTCCTGTTCTCGGTAACTTCAGCTTTAAAGATCCCTGTTTTGTAAAGGAAATGGTGGCTCTCAGCTTACTAAGCAAGGGGCAGTCAGGCCTATACAGAAATTGATGAGTCACTTTATGTCCTCCCACCAAGCAGGTCCACGGTAGGCAGAAAACCTGCTTGGTGGAGACTCCCGTTGCTCCGATTATATCAATGTTTTTCTTAGATAAGGGGGACACTGGGGTACCTTGCCCCCTATTGTCATCCTGACCATGGGCTCCTTGGGGGCATTTGAGCCCAGTCCCCTTCAGTCTAGTAGCTCTTCGGCCAGACTGAACAAAGTCCCTTTGTCTTTATCTGTGGTCTTTTGCTCCGCATCACCTTGCTTCTCCTTTAGTTGGGGATACTTACCTTTCCAATGTTCTATTTCTTTATAGTAGGCACATTGGTTATGCTGCAGACATGAGCGATTGGACTGGGCATTCCTCCCGGAACCCCCCTTTCCCTACCCTTTGCGGGGATCCCTCTAATTGCTGCAGCCAGAAAATCAGCATTCTGCCTGGCCTGGCGTTCACCTTCCTTATGGCTTTCTCGGTGGCTTGTTGCATCTCTATTTACAAATACTCTATTAGCTATCTCCAGTAACTGCAAGGTATTCATCCCTGCAAAACCAGCCTGTTTTTGCAATTTCCTCTGGATATCTTCTGCGCTTTGACTAACTAAGGCCATGTTAATCATACGCTGATTTTCAGGACAATCTGGATCGAAAGGAGTGTATATACGATAGGCCTCACACAGTCTTTCATAGAATTGGGCTGGGCTTTCCTCCTTTCCTTGGATAACTTCAGAAACTTTATTTACACTTGTGGCCTTTTGAGCCCCTTTTTTCACCCCTTCAATTAATGCCTTCTGGTATCGTCTTAACCTCTCCATATTGGGTCCTTCATTCACATCCCATTGAGGGTCTGCTCCTGGCAGCTGAATTCTTATGTATTCCTGGGGATTTTGGTATTTGGCTGGGATGTGCTCCTCTAGCCATTTAGTTGCCGCCTGTAGCACCCTTCACCTTTCATCTGTGTTAAAGAGGTACATGAGTAACTGGTGGCAATCAGCCCAAGTAGGACTATGAGTCTGTATAATAGTTTGGAGCAAGTCAATTAGAGCTTGAGGCTTTTCAGTGTAAGATGGGGTATTATTTTTTCAATTGAGGAGCTCAGCAGAGGTGAAAGGGTGATATATGAAGGCATGCCTTTCCACCATGTGTCCATCCTCATCTACCCTAGTATGTCACTGCACTCTCAGGGGCATTTGGATTCCAGTCTTGGGCTGTAAATGGGCTGCCAAGGGAGGAGTTTCTCCTGCAGGTTCGCTTCCTTCCTTTCTACTCTGGGTGGTCTTGGGGCTGTGGGCTCAGAAGTAGGGGGCCTCTCCGCTTGGTAAGGAGCAGCACTGTTGGTGCCATCTCCTGCCATGAGTCTTTGGGCTCCGGGTCAGACAGAACTTTAAGGGCTGGCTTCCCTTGGCAGGTAGAGTGAGAACCTTCCTTAACTAACTGTCCCTTTGCTACTAGTACTGCTACTGCCTGTCCCCTTAACCACTGTAGGGGATCTAAAACTAGCTGTAACCAGAAATCTATATATGGGAACTGATCTGGGTGTCCTGGCTTGCCAGTTACTTTGTGCCATACCTTTGAAACAAGAGACCTGTCCAGGCTTCCTTCGGATGGCCAACCTACCTCTAATTCTGGCCAATCTATTTCACACAAAGTTCTCAGTTTTCCTGGAGTCATAGTGACTCCATAGTCTCCTTTGAATCCTTTCTTGAAATGCTTTAACATAGTTCCCAATGGGGTGGGCTTACTTTGTGCCTGGCCCATGTTTTCTCGAGACAAAATATCATGCTCACACCACACACTCACCACAAAACAAAGAATGGGTAAAGAGGGCACACACACACCTTTGTCATTTATATCAAACCAAAATCAGAGTACCAAGAAATTCAAGCCAAGTCAAAACCAAAGTATCAAGCAATTCAAGTCAAGTCAAAACCAGAACAAAAGTACTGATACAGGCGTGCTGTGGGTGATCAGGCCATGCTTCCACTCAAATGGAGTGGGCAAGTTTCAAAGATTAGTCTTACCAAGTTTCAGATGTCTGGACTCCAAGTGCCAGTTCCTTCCTGGTGTTCAGCCACTGCGTTGATCCTCCCCGGGGGCCTGTCATGCACTGCTCTGGTGAGGCGTTCCACTGGGGCAGTTGCCTACCTGGGAGCACTCTTTGGATTGCGTCACTCAGGCGGGCCGGAGTTCCCTGCAGGGATGCTCCACAGGGCAGGCTTAAGCTGCCTAAGGGGCTGCCTTGGCCATCCATCAGTCACCTCGATTCCCTGTCAGGGAACCAAGAAATGTAGCAGGACAAGCTGTGGACAAAACCCCATAGACACTGAGATAGTGAAGGAAGTAGCTTTTAATCAGCTGGAAGCATCGGCGGACTAGCATCTTAAAATCCGAGCTTGTTGCGTGCACAATGTCTGTCCCTTTTAAGGGCTCACAACACTAAAGATTTTACATGAAAGGGCCATGATTGATTGAGCAATCTAGGGAGTATGTGACAAGGACTGCGTGCACCGGTAATCAGAGTGAAACAGAACAGAATGAGAAGTTTCACAATGTCGTTCCATACAATGTCTGGAATCTATGGATAACATCGATTGCTAGGTCATGGGTTGAATATTAACTATCAGGCTAACGTCAGGCAGGCCCAGACCTGGTTTTGGGTCTGGTGCCTGGTGCCAGGTTGCCTGCCTTTGGTTTCACTTCCTTGTTTCTTCTTAAAGCAGGTACTGAATATAAAACAATATAGAACAATATGGGGGGTCTCTTTCTCTCTTCTGTCACTTCTACTTGAGGTTGCCCTTTCCTGACCCCTCTCTTCTGTCACATGGAGTTCTTAGTCCACTTCTGTCATCCCATCCAGGGGCTATGCCTTGTCTTCTATCTGCAGCTCCCAGCACAGTGCCTCGTACACAGTAAGTGCTCATTAAATATTCAGTGAATGAAGTAACTCTGACTCTTGAGTTGACCTGGCACAGTCCCAGATACTGGCATCTGACGACAGGAGAGGACTAATTAGAATCCTTGAATTTCATAAGGAAAATATAAAATAATGTAAGAGTTTATCTTTGTGTCTTAGGGGCAAGGAAGAACTTCTTAAATAAAACTTGAGAAAGTATACAATATGAGGCAAAAATGAGTGAAACTGATTTTCATTCAGTGAAGGACACCATAGCCACAGCTAATTAATCAACAGGTGACTGATGAGAGAAGGTGTTTAAAGTGTCTAAAATTGAAAGAGGAGTCACATCTACAACATACCAGCAACCAGTACAAATCAAAAAGAGAAAAAGGCAGCAATCTTGTTGAAAAATGGTCAGAGCATCTAAGCAGACAGTGAACAGAAAGGAAACCCCAAAGGCTAACACTTTATATAAAGAGTTCCTCCAACTCATCTCTGGAGAGATGCAAATTAAAACGAGAGAGACTGCACTTTACCTATTAGACTGCAAACTCTAGAAAGCTGGGTTCAGCCAGGTGTCTGAGGGGATGTGGGAGAGAGAATCTGTAGCTCTGCTGGGGGAATGTAACCACTTTGAAGGACAGTCAAGGAGGGCAGTCAGTCCAATTAAAAAAGAAACAAAAAACCCATGGCCCTACCGTTCCACTCCTAGGTATAAATCCCAAAGAAATTGGCATACCAATCCCTAAGGTGACATGCATTAGGGTTTTGTGACATTATTTGAGGTTACATGGTCAAGTCTGTGTTTCTCACTGGTAGCGTGGATAGACAAAGTATAGTGGCCGCTCCCATGGAGCCCTGGAGCTACATTCCTGAGGGCAAAAGGTAAGAAAGAATGGGATACAAGTTAGGTAAATTTAAAATCTATGCATACATACAGAATACACATTTTGTAAGAACACAAGGAACGGAAAGATACACATGAAACATAAACCAGTAATTGCCAAGAATGGAGCAAAAGGGCTAATGGGATAAAAGGAAATGAATGAAGGAATAAATGATCAATTATAAATGTAAGAGAGGGCCTTGCTCAGATCAATGATGATATCTCAAACTACAAGCAACCGGTCACCTACAACTTTTAAAAACTTAAGTTCTGACCTAGAGCTGGCATTACTGCATTCCTTTATACATATTCTGTCTTCAGTTTGATTAAAATAATCCATATTCAGGTGAGCAATTGATGCCTTGCTCAATAGGCTACCATGCCCAAAAGCCATTGCGTTTTCAGAGTCAACACAAAATGAATGGCAACTGGTAGAGGCCAGCTCCTGTCTGCCTTGCTTTTTGTTGTATCTCCAGCTCCTACCACAGTGCCTGGCAAATGGTAGATGCTTAGTAAGTATTTTTAGGAATGAGTAATGATGGATCTTCCTGGAAGATACTTTGGGGAACCTTTCTGATGCACATCCACACTCACTCTTGGGTGCATGCTCCCCCAGAGCTGGGCTAGGCTGGTCATGGACCCTTGAGGCCTAGGTGTTGGAGAAGCACCCAAGGAGTAGAGGACACTGGACCAGAAGAAGGAGGGAGGCTGAAAACAAGGATCCCAAAAGGGTGTGTGGAAGGTCACCAAACATTCGAGCCAGAAATTGCTCCTGCATTCTTTTGTTTGAGAACCAAGGATGCCGGAGGACACACAAGTTTGGTGAGAGGAGGGGGAACCTGGGGCTGGGGGCGGCTACCTCGGGTAGGCTCTGTGGCCCCAGTGTGCTTCATGTGCAGGGCCAGATGTAGTGCTGGTGGGCTGGCTGAGTTAGGGGGCTAGTGGAGTGGGGCGATTCTGGCCTGACTGCCCCAGGGAAGGTCCCAGCACACTGCAGGCTGCCCCCACTTCTTCCCAACCCCTCTCTTACTGCTTGAGCTATTCAGAGTGGCTGCCCGGCTTATGCCTATGACAAGTCAGCAGAAAAGGGCCTTCTCATTCCCTTCTCCTCTCTGGATTTCACCCTGACCCAGATGGCTGCTGGCTGGAGTTGAGGACGGCTGTGCTGTCAGCTGAAGCAAGTCAGCTGGGGCTAGGTCTGCCTGGTATCCTGCTCACTTGGCTTTAGTCCTAGAATTGCACAGCTCTGGGGTGTCTTTGTTTCCTGTTAACTAGACGGGGACCAGGGAAGCTATGTCAGAACCTGCTGTGTCTGCAGATTCTGGCACACCAATGGCAAATAAGCCAATGTGTCCTGTGTTTCCCAATCTGTACTCATCATTCAGGTCTAGGGACTCTTCCAGGGGCAGCCGATGCCTTCCTCCTCAGCTCACCTGCTGGTCTCCAGCTTCTGTCCTGGCAACCCCGAGCTCAGGTTTCCACCTGTAACAGGATGGAACATGCTGGCTTTATCACCCACCTGAGTCCTCAGAGGGGCTGTGCCATGGCTCTTACCTACACCCTCTACCCCAGCTGTCCCCTGCAGTGACTGGATTCTCCTGATTCAGAGGGTGTGTTGCTAATGATCATGCTCAAGGCCAGAAAGGGGAAGAGAGCCCTGAGACTAGAGGGTGGGGCCTGAACATCTGCATGGTAATAATTATGGAAATAAAATGATAATATTAATGTTTTAACTTTACATGCTGAGCATTGTGCCCACTGCTTCTTGTACATTATTTCCTTTAATCCTCAAAGTATCAATATGAAGTAGGAACCACCACTGTCTCTTCTTTGTACTTGAGGACACCGGGGCTTGCAGGGGTTAAACACTTTGCCCATCGTCACACAAACAAATGAGGTAGAATTTGGATTTGAACCGACTCTCTTGGTATGCGTAACAATGACACTGTTGTGCCTTTTACACAATGGCATTCCCCCTCACTGCCCCACCCCAGCATCCAACAGCCTTTATTTCTGTCTATCCTGGTGCTGTAGTCTGTATCACCCCATTTTGAACTGATAGCAGCCAGTTGAGGTAGAGATTATTCTCATCTTATGGATATGGAAGCCATGGCCTGGAGGAGTGAAGTGACAAGCTCCAGGTCACAGAGCTGGGAACTGGCAGGGTCAGGATGCAAGTGAGACCTCCTTCAGATCAGGACTCTTCACTCTAAAGGAGGCAGCACCTGTTAAGGAGAGAGAGATGTGGAGTCAGGGGCAGTCCAGCAGTCCATTTTTGTGATGGTGTGAGGAAGGGATGTAGCTATGCAAGGACTTAGAAGATGGTGGCACAGGAAGATCTGGACACTCGGGGCTGCTGCCCAGGCATGGAGGGCATGGTGGCAGAAGGGCTGGGTCTCATTTTCCTGACCAGTGGCTTTCCTCCTACAGAGTAAGGGGCTCTTTATCCTTAAGGCTCAGCTTTGGAATTGGCCCAACCCCATCCTTTTGTGGAGCCTGTTATGGGTAGCCCACAGCACAGACAGTCCCCACTCATGATGAGGGTAGACACTGCTCTTGAGACAATGATAAGCTACCTTGTGCAGGCTCTGAGGGTGAGAGTGCCAGGACAGGTCCCCTTCTTCTCTGGTCCTGAGGCTCCTCATCCTTAAGTGGAGGAGGCTGGGTCACACACTTTTCCCTACTTATTGTAAGGCGGCTTCCTTCCTAAGATGAGTGTGTGCCAAGATGCTGGATGCCATGACGCATGATGATTTCTCACACATGAAAAGGACCCATTGGTCATCACTCTGCCATCTTCCAACCAAGCCCTACTGGCCAGGGCCCAGCACACTGCCTAGAGCCTGTGACAGTCCCTAGTATTGGGGGCTTGTGGTGGTTAACATTGTGTGTCAGTATGACTTGGCTATGATGTCTATATATGTGGCCAAACATTATTCTGGATGTTTCTGTGAGGGTGTTTTTGGATGAGATTAATATTTAAATTGGTAAAGCAGATTGCCCTCCCTAACGTAGGTGGGCCTCATCCAATCAGCTGAAGGTCCAGATAAAATGAAAGACTGACTTCG